ATATATATATATATATATATATATATATATATATATATATGCACATGTTATAAGTTGGCTCATTAAATATATTGGTATTAACGTAATATGCTATATGTCGACATAAAATAGAAAGAACAAAAAAGTTTTAGCAATTTTAAATTATATATTATATTTCTTATGATGAAAACATTCGTTTAAGATTTTTATCATACTTTTTTGATGGTTTTTATCTTACAATGCTAATACGTTAAAATATAAACGACTCTCGTACTAAACACATCACGCTTAAATCCTAATCATTTCCACACTCAGAAACATCAAATACAAAATTTAATTCTAAACCGATTAAAAATATGATGTATATAATAATAACCCTCGTTATTAAAAATTTCTTGCATATATCTAATTATTAATGAGTTCGTGGATGATAATGCTTTGTCGACATTGCCTTAAGTTTGTGACTTGTAATCACCATCTATCAACAATTTTTCGTTCTAATATAAAATATTATCGGATAAATACGGACTTCCATTCAAACAATAAACAAACAATACTTGTATACATAATACATATTATACTTGTGGAAGCTTCAAATAAAAATACTAAATGCCGTAAAAATGAAATGATAAGAAAAAATTCATATATTAATTATTGAAAAAATCCATTTGAATATGCATACGTTAACTCATATGAAGTAAAACTGTAACATCGTTACAATTATGGATCTTCATATAGAGTATTTTTAATTATTTATATATGAACCTTTTCTTTCTTACCTTTTAAAACAGTATTTAACTTTCTTATTTGACTTGTATATATCTTAGATTACAAAAGGTATTCACAACCATCTCAATTACATATTTCATAACCCTATTTACATGACAACTTGTATACAAATAATGAAATCAAACAAACCTCTGTTCAAATGTTAAGTTTTTGAGGTTTTGGTAGAAGGAGAAACCTCGTTGTCGGCAGGGAAGTCGGAAAACGCTGCCACAATCCGGCGAATGCTAGCAGAACGAGCTGTTTTAAAGCTGGTTGCTCTAAGGGTAGGGGCTGAAGTTGAGAAGATATTGGAAGAGTTTGTTATGATAAGGTAAACAAGAGCCTGAACCAGGATGAATAAAGCCACCTTCAGAAGGGTGTCGCCAGAGATCACCTGCACTTCAACCACCATGTCGAGAGAGAGAGAGAGAGAGAGAGAGAGCCTTGCTTTTTTGACTTGGCTTCTTCATATTTTATAAACACAAAAAATTTATAAAATATTTTAAATTAAAAGAAAATGTTAGATTAGCAATTATTTTAATCAAATATCCAAATTGCATTTTTTGTTCCATTATAAATTTAGCGTTGAAGAAAAAGAAAAATCTAAAATTTAATGGACTTTCTGATTTTAAATGATTTAGTTGTTAAACAATTTTGTAAAGAAAAAGTCACTAAATTTTCTTTAAATCTCTAAACTATTTTTTTTGAATGAAAAAAATATTAAATTTACACATTTTGAATGATTAAAACCCTCAATGTTTTTAAAAAATAAATAAACCATCAAACTTTTATTTGTCGGTTAATGTAACTTTCTTTGAGTTAAAAGAATATTAGATAACCAATTTTAAAAAGAGTGATAGTTTATTTATTAAAAAAATGTTCAAGTACTTAATCTACACTATATTATAAAGTATTTAACAAAAACTCTTAAAACCATTTTTTATGCATAAAGTACTGTATATTGATGCATATTACTTAAAATTCAAGTTGTCAAATTTTTATGATATCTTCAAATTTATATTTTATTCAAAAATAAAAGTATCATCGTTTTTTTAAAATCACATAAGACCATACTATAACATCGACTGAGATAAAAAATAAAATGAAATATTAAAATCAAGATATATCTCGTTGCATTGCGCAGGTATCCTTCTAGTCAATCAAAATGAGAAAGTTTAATTTTTTTTATTCAAAAATATAGTTCAAACACTTAATCATTCAAAATGAGATTGTTTGTTAGGTTTTTTTTTTAACGTTTCTATTAAAATAACAAAAATTAGCAATCTAATTTTGATTTTATTTATTGTAATTTTTTTGTCAATTTATATTTTTGGATTATTTTTTATAAAGATATCCTTCTTTATAAGTCATTCATGCCTTCTCGAAAAATATATTGGCCAGCAAAACCATTACAATGTTCAATATTCCATAATCTATTTTAAAACATTTAAGATACATTACTAGTTGTATACTTGCGTAATGCGGCGGGAGCCATGAATTTTAACGATTTTGAAGTTCCACTGGTTTTATTAGATAAGATTTAACGATGATATATGTTACACGTGGTCTTTACATATTAATACAATTTGAATAAATAAGAGTTATGGTTCCAATTACAGACTATCGATAAAAAAAATTATATGACAGTTTAAAATCTAATATATATAAAATCCAACATATTTAAACGACTCCACAAATGTGTTCGATTTACACCAGGTGCAAAGAACCAAGAAACTTGAGTTTTAAGATAAACACTCAAAACCAATAAAGAAAACTACAAATTTGACAGATCATAAACCATGAAAAGACAAAAAAATATGAGTTTTAGAATGAAATTTCAACTGCTTACCCTCTTTCTTGTCCAGAAACTCATATTAAGGTTGAATTAATACATGTATATATATATTTCAAAAAAACCCAAGAACATATTAATTCAGAACATATTATACAGTGCAATTTGGATAGTCTAACCTCAAAATATATAATATATATATA